CCTACTGGGGAGCCTAGTTCCTCTCCTAGAGCACCCTATCCCGCCGCTGTGACAAAACGGGAACCCCACTACGGCCAAAATCCCAGGGAGGGAGGGTGGGACAAACTTAGCCAGGCAGGCAAGTTAAAAGTGATTTTTCCAAGATGTCTGCCTACTTATATGACCCAACCCCTTAACTTCTCCATTAACCACTCCCAATTAGCTTCCTCCTATGCCCGCCTCCCAACCCCTGCCAAGGCCCTTTTCCACTAAGCTGTGCTTTTGTTCCATGGGGCTACATTTCAACTGTATACAAAAAATGGCTGCTCTACCCACCTCCACTCTCTCTACATGCTTTGTCCCTCGCAGCTGTAAATACCTTCATATAACTGTGTCTTATATCCATACATGTTACTTGGACCTTGATTCACAAACCCAGCCTCACAAACAAATTTCCAGTCTCTTCGTTTCCTCTAATTGGCTGAGACTGGGCACTGTCAGCTGGGCACTATCAGACAATGCATAAATGGCTGTAGAATGCCTTCACCACTACGAGACACTGTTATCAAAATGCATGTATGTGCTATTATTATTATCTCTGTATGTACATACAGTAAATAGCTGGTCTGACCTACTACAGCTGTTGAAAGTTTTGATGTCTTTATATGTTTAATCGAAGGCTTCCTGTGATAGGATGGTTTAAGTTGTCTTCAGTCATACGGTGTTGTTAATCTCTAGAACAAGCATGTCAAACTTGCGGCCCACAGTAAATATATTTGCGGCCGTCTACCCTGGGGCTGCTTTGTGCTGTGGCTGCGACCAACCGCAAGACAGGAAAGATCTTTCCTATTTGATTCTTGTCTTCCCTCCCAGAGCCACAAGAACGTAGAGTGGCTGTTTGTCTGCACTCCCCCTTCCCTCTTGCTTGCAGTGCCAGAGGAGTGTCTGACCTGCTTGAGCAGAGAAGAGCAGAGCTGGGGAGGGGCAGTGTATTAAATTGGGGAGGGGACAGTGTATTAATTTGGGGAGGGAGGGGGCAGTCTATTAAATTGGGTAAGGTAGTAGGCAGTGTTTTATTTTGAGGGAGGGGGCAGTGTATTAATTGGGGGGAGGGAGGAGGCCAGTGTATTAAATTGGGGAGGGGCGCAGTCTATTCATTTGGAGGAGGGAGTTGACCAGTGTATTTAATTGGGGGAGGGAGTGAGGCAGTGTGTAAGAGTGGTGGTAAGGGGGCAGTGTGTTAAATTTGGGGTAGAGCAGCAGGGCTGGCTTTAGGGGTGTGCGAGCTGTGCGGCCACACAGGGCGCCATAGAGCAGGTGTGTACAAGCTGTGCGGCCGCACAGGGCGCCATAGAGCAGGGGGCGCCATGCGGCCGAGACAGCTCACACATGGCCGGGTGACAGGGGTGCAGAGGGTGCTAAATATACAGGGGCAGGATTTCATTATTCGGGACTATGAAAAAGAAAAAGTAGAGAGGCAGCAGGGGTGGGGCTTACTGAGTGATAGGGGTGGCGCTTATCACAAGGTGGAGGTGGGGCTAAAATGACAGCAGAGGCGGGGTTAAAACCTACCAGAAGCCCCTTGTAACTGCTGCACAAGAAGGGAAGGAGTCCCTGCTTCCCCAAAAATTAATCTACAGGAGCTGCACTGCCTCCACTCCCACTTTCAGCCCACAATAGAAAGAGGTGTGTGTGTGTGACCGTGGGCCTATGTGTGTGACTGTCTGTGTGTGTGTGTGTGACTTTCTGCCTCTGTGTGACTGTCAGCCTGTGCGTGACTGTAACTGTGCGTGTGACTGCCTTTGTGACTGACTGTGTGTGACTTTCTGCCTGTGTGTGACTGTAACCGTGTGACTGTCAGCCTGTGTGTGACTGTAACTGTGTGTGACTGTGAGTGTGACTGCAACTGTGTGTGACTGTAACCATGTGACTGTCAGCCTGTGTGTGACTGTAACTGTGTGTGACTGCCTGTGTGTGACTGTACCTGTGTGCGACTGTAGTGTGTGTGACTGTACTTGTGTGTGTGTGTGTGACTTTCTTCCTGTTTGTGACTGTAACCATGTGACTGTAACTGTGTGTGTGACTGCCTATGTGACTGTAACTGTGAGTGTCAGTGTAACTGTGAGTGTCACTGTAACTGTGTGTGACTATACTGTGTGTGTGACTTTCTGCCTGTGTGTGACTGTAACCGTGTGACTGTCAGTCTGTGTGTGACTGTAACTGTGAGTGTGACTGTAACTGTGTGTGACTGTACTGTGTGTGTGTGCGACTTTCTGCCTGTCTGTGACTGTAACAATGTGACTGTCAGTCTGTGTGTGACTGTAACTGTGCATGACTGTAACTGCGAGTGTGACTGTAACTGTGTATGACTGTAGTGTGTGTGTGTGTGACTGTAAGAGTGTGACTGTAACTGTGTGTGACTGTAGCTGTGTGTGTGGCTGTAACTGTGCCTGTGTGTGTGACTTTGCCTGTGTGTGTGACTTCAACTGTGTGTGACTTCAACTGTATGTGTGTGTGTGACTGTCTGCCTGTTGCTGTGTGGGACTGTCTGCCGGTAACTGAGTGTGTGTGACTGTCTGCTTGTCACTGAGTGTGTGTGACTGTCTACTTTTAACTGTATGTAAGTGGTGTGAGTGGGGCAGTGTATTCAATTAGAGTGGAGTGAGGAGAGGTAGTGTATTAGATTAAGGGGCAGTGTATTAAATTGGGTGAAGGGGGCAGTGTATAAGAGTTGAGTCGGGGGGCAGTGTATTGAATTTGGTGGCAATGTATTGGATCTGTGGGCAATGTATTAGAATGGGGGCAGGGGGCAATGTATTAGATTGGGTCTGCATGGAGGCGCTGAATGCTCCCTATTGAGATGCTGATTGGCTGCGCAGCTTTTTTGCCACACATGTACAATAGTCTCCCAATGCTTTCCTATGGGAAAGCATTGGCTTGGCTGAGATCAAGTTTGGACTTCATAGTACTTCAAAATGATCAAGATAACGTCATTTGATTTTTACAGCTGTGCAACAGCATACATTCACCATTTCAGTCCCATTACCAAACTTTTCTTAATACGATAGTTGGACTGAAACATTGATTATATGCAAATGCACGTCTCCTTAAAATAAATAAATACATTCGCTATTTGAAGCCCTACGAGCGTGAGGATGTCCAGTGTCAGTTAAGCAACCTTTTTTATACTGTACTTTTCAAAATAAACCTTTGTTTCTATGAAAACTAAAGTTTTGGTTTTTTTGCGGCCCACATAAACTTAAACCGTGTTTATTTGGCCCGTGTTAGGCTTTGAGTTTGACATGCTTGTTCTAGACATTGATTGTTGTACCCTAGTAACATAGACATCTCAGATGCATAATTTATACTCTAGCATTACCTTGTCCAGCCTGTTCAAGGAAAATTCGGAGTAATTGAATATCTAATATATAATATTGCAACGTGAACACAATATAAACCTGGCAGAGAGTGATCTTCAGTCAGGTCAAGCTGCTCCTGGGTGAAGATCAAACAAAATAGCAGCACTGCATGCTGATAGGGTTATTAACTAAAGTAAGAACTGTTGGGAATTCAAAGTGAATTTAAAATTTAAGACAAAAAAAGTAAAATTTGAAAAATTGCACAAGTCAGTTATGCCTTTAGTTTGGCTAATTTGGTCTCAAGTTTGAAATTCAGTTTGAATTCCAAACAATTCTCACTTTATCGAAAACCCATGTTAAATTTTTAATCACTATTTAGTAGGTATACTCCCAATGGAAACATGCATGCATTTATTTATGCATTTTTCATTGGTGATACATCTATTAGCAGCACTTCCCCTTTTCGGTGCAACCTTGGAGGTTTCCACAATGCCAAAATAGAGGAGTTTCAATCTATCTATGTGTATGTGTTGTGAGCATATTCATCATGTGTGTGTATATGTGCATGTGTGTCAGTGTGTATACATGTGTGTGTTTCTGTGTCAGTGTGTGTAGGTCCATATATGAATGTGTGTCAGTGTGTGAATCTGTGTGTGTTAATGTGTACGTGTGTCAATGTGTATATCTATGCATGTGTGTATATGTACATGTGTGTCACTGTGTGTATCTTTGCATGCATATATCTGTATATGCCTGTGTTCGTGTGTGTGTGAGTGTACCTGTTCATGTGTGTCAATATGTATCTCATAGAGTGCATCTGTGGGTGTATGTATCTGTGTGTGACAGTGTATGTGCGTGTCTTTCTGTGGCAGAGTCTGTGTATTTCTGTATATGACAACGTGCATATGTGAACACAAACATGCATCCAAACACCAATATCACACACAAACACACCTCAGCAGTCAAACACAGACACTACAATAAACACACCCCTGCATTCAAATGCAGACAGAAGCACATCCCTGCATTCAAACGTTAGCTATATACACAAACATTCACATACACACATACCGTATACAAAAACACACCTACATTCACACACAGGCACTGCACACACATTTTTTTTTTGTATCAGGGCTCTCTCTACAAAAGTTATGCAATTGGCTGGGGAATACTAAAATCAGATGCTTTTCATGAGCGCATATACACAATTACTGCTTTCCAATGCTTATTAATGTACTGTAATGCAACTCATTGAAAAGGGGGGAAAGCAGCGTGATAGCCCAATGCGCCTGCCACTTCCGTTCCTTGGAGCTAACAGAAGCTGAAGATAACTAAAGAGATCAGTAAATAGAGCAGCTGACATGACTCTTCCTCACAGCCAATCAATACACTCTTAATGCTCACAAAGTATATTGAGTGGCACAACACAGGGATTATAATTTATCATTTAAAATCTTATGCAACATCCTGAAATATAGAATTTTTTTCTACTGCTCTTTTTCTACTTCCATCAATTTTGCATACTTCAATTTTCCTGTTTTAGTTTTACTGTTGATTTATAAATATGAACATAATATTTTATTAATGTGAACAAATACCTAATTTTAAGCGTGACAATAACTCATTGGCCTTAAATGTATAGTTTAATGAATAATACAATTAGGGTGAGACTGTGTAAAATGCCCCGCCAGCACTTACAGTACCTTTCCCAGGGCACCCCTGGTGTTCTTGAGGTAGTCCTCTGAGGTCTAGGGCGCCCTTTGATCCATGGCTCTGTTCTGTCACGCTCTTGCCACTTCTCCTGCAGCTCTTACTCTGGTGTGTGGCACCAGGCTTCGCTTGGGCCGCACTGCTTTGCCGTAGCCAGATGACACAGAATACAGAGGGGAGGGGAAGGTAGGCTTGGAGAGAGAGTGGAGTGTCTGTGAAATATTCAACATGATGCCCAGTCCCCATCCCCTCCTTTATAATCACTGCAGGAGAATGGGGGCCTGTCATGTGATGAGTTCTCCCTATAAATACCGAAGTACTGCACTTGGTCAGTGCTTTGTTGTACTGGTGCTTGTACCAGTCTTGGAATCCTGGTTCTTGATTCTTGTTCCTCATTCTTGATCTCTGATTTCTGGTTCCTGATTCCCGATAAAACTTTGTGGCTTCTGACGTTTGGTTTGATCCAGGCCACATTTCTTGTCTCTGACCTTTGGCCTCTGACACACAGTTCCCTATTTGTGGATTTTCTTGGCTTGACTCTTGACATTGCTCCTTGCAGCCAGCCCTCACCATCGAACCTCCTGGCACCACTTTCTATCTGTTCCTTTCTGGCTTCACTGCTTCTTCCCTCATACACCAACTTGTAGGTTGTCACAGACAGTCTGAAAAATGTGTGCTCTAACTCAATGGTGCTACTTTGTTTTGAGTGGTGTTTTTATTGCTAGCATTCTTAATAATTTAACATAACTAACACACCTGATTCATTAACTGCAACTCCTAGCACCATAACCATTGCAACCTGCTTCCAGGAGTGCATTGGCACCATTTAATAGTAAATTGTCCATCCATTTTAGTTTGTTTTGACAACTTTCCTGGCAGGTAGATCACTGGGTTTGGCCTCAGCCCTGAATGTGTGGCCATATAGTCCTGAATATTTTTGAAACTCCACAGACAGTGATCCCATACAGCTCTCCCTGCCTGATTTCCTTTGTGAATCTAGAAGTCTACCGAAAGAGAAGTGGTCACCTCATTTTATTTTGACTTCAAGCCCTGGGTTATATCTGACCTTAGCAACACCCCTCTTTCCTTGATCTGCCATAGACCCATGGCCGCATCCTTTGCTTTCACTCTTCATCTGCCAGAGATGTCTCTGTACAGTAAAGAACAGATGATGAAGGACTGTTCTCATTAACTTTGAGCACTCAACTTAACTGGTTTGGTATCTTACCAGTTAAGCAGCTGTAGTAATTATGGTGCTTAGAGTGTTCCTTTAATATATATAACCGACAAATTGCCTTTCTTGACCCATAGACCTTTTGTTTGATGCCCAATCAAAAATTTCTAAGCTGACATTAACAGTAATACCACTCACATTTGGGCATATTCCATTTATTTTTGGGCAGGTTGGTAAAAAAAAAAAAAACCTTCTTGCCATTTAAGAAGATATACGAGATTATGTTTCCAGCATTCATATGAATTAAATTAAAAGAGGAATTATTTAGAATTACTTATTTTCCACAACCATTAAGTCTCTACTGAGAATTTCTACGATGAATTATGAAACAGTCTAAGGGCCATCTCATTTAGAGAGTTACTAGGTATGAGGAATACATAAACACTGCTTTGGAAGCAAGGTCTGTCGTCCCCTCCCCCCCCCCCACACCTAAGGTTAAAAATTATACGCAAACTGGTTTTCATTTCCAGTTACGCAAGATACCAAATAAATGTAATGACTCAGTCTAATGTAGAACCAACGTGTCTTACTCAGTGGTTTAAAAGGGCAGCTATTAGGATTGGCCATCTAATATGGCTCTTTCCGAATATTCGCAATAGCAGGAATTTGTAAAACTATTCCTGGGCATTTAGCTGAATACCAGCTGAGGGTTTGGTAGTGGAAAGAATTTTATCACACGGACTGGGTGGATTAATGCTGCTTTCTTTTCACGATGCATTCCGGCCATGATGTTTAAGTCCATGAAAATGCGTTGAAGTGAAGCCAATAGAAAGCTGAGGGGTCTAAGTTTACATTTGGTCCCATGGCAGTACAGAAATGTTTTCTCCAAATAAACGTATCCAGGTTAATGAATAATTGAAAATTAGTAAAAGCTAACAGAGTGTAAGATAACAATTAGTTTCCTGTTAAAGATCAAGTTGTAGAATTTCAGTAACAAACAGCAGTGTTTTTTAATTTCTTAGATACCATGTATTCATATATTAATCTATTGTGCAGACTATGTACACCTTCCAATCTTTAATTAATGTAACAAATAATGGCTTATTTGTAGATGTTCCTGGTGCAAAAGTGTCTTTTTAATAGGCCCCTAATGCTAAGAGTCTGTGTCTGGTTTCACTTCCCTATAAACTAGCTTGATCTTAAAGTGAAATTGTCATGCTATCTTTGGGTGTAAATGAGACAGGGTTGTGATAGTCATCCTGTGTGGCAGGGTGAAGGAGGATGAGTGTGAGATAGTGATAGAGGATGTGGTGAGTGTAGTTGTATGAGAGAAGGTGAGTGTGACAGGATTTATTTATTTATAAAATATTTGACCAGGATGGATATATTGAGGTTTCTCTCGTTTTCAAGTATGTCCTGGGTCCACAAAATATTGCATTGTTACAATAGGATACAATATTACAAAAATACAATATATATATATATATATATATATATATATATATACATACACACATATATAAATTTAATACATAACAGGTAATAAATATATTCAACCATGACAGGTGCATTCTGTGCTGAGGTATATTGCCATAGATCTCTTAAAAGATTTTAGATTGAATGAAGATTTGACTGTGTCCCTGAGGTTATTCCATAATTGCGGAGCTCTGCAGGAAAAGGAGGAACGAGCCACTTTATTTTTGTATTGCGGTATGCTAAATATCGTGCTAGTACTGGATCAGAGGTTATAATAGTGGTGGGTAAAGTAATTACATTCTCGTACAAAGCGGCAGAATGAATTTGTTCTAAAACACAGTTGTTGATTTTGTAGTTAATGTAAGTTAGGTACAGTTCCAACGATCATTGTAACAGTTTTGTCAGTGTTTAAGAAGAGTTTGTTATCCGCTATCCACTTTTCTACCTCTGTGAATTGGTTTTGTAGCACAGCCTCAAAGTGTAAGAGTGTGGGTGTGGGTTTACTAGCGTAGATTACAGTGTCGTCTGGATACATGTGTACTGTTGAGGATTTGCAGACATTAGGCAGATTCTTTATAAATAATGTGAAGAGCAGGGGGCTGAGTATGGAGCCTTGGGGAACACCAAACGTGACTGGAAGAGGAAGGGAAGCGCTATCAGAAATGGCCACATATTGCAATCAGTTTGAAACATACGATCGAAACCAGGTTAGCGGACGATCGTCAATGCCTGAGTTTTTTAAAAAGAATGCCATGGTCTACTGTGTCAAAGGCCGTGGCAAAATCAAGGAAAATAGCTACAGTTAAGTCTACTTTTTCATGCCAATTTGGATGGCATTGCAAACTTTTAAGAGGGCAGTCATAGTTGAGTAATTTGGACGAAAGCCTGATTGATCAGGGGTCAGATAATTTGATTGTTGATAATATTCACATAGTTACGTGTGAACGCATTTTTCCAAGATTTTTGACAATACTGGGAGCAATGATATCGGCAACAGTTAGATACTAAAGTATTGTCACCACTTTTATGGATAGGTACAACTTTTGAAGTCTTCCAAAGTTTGGGTATGTATCCTGGCACTAGGTATTCATTGATAAGGGTAGTGACAGGTTTAGCAATTGCTGGTGCACTGAGCTTCAGCAACATTGCTGGGATTGGATCTGGTCCACACTGTTTTTTTATTTTTAAATTATTAAGATGTTTATTAACGACACTAACAGGTGGCTAAAGTGAATTTCTCTATATGAGGATTTTGAAGATTTGGCAGGGCCTGATCTTTATTTGTGGTCTCAAAAATGAGTGTCAATTGGCTGATCTTGCAAGACCTCTATCACATGGTCTGTAGCTCTCCACCTGGTGCAGGGCTCTCTCCCTTTCAGGGCAGACTGCCTGGAGGGGGCCCACACCCAGCGGCATACAGGGCACCCCTCTTTGTGTTTTGCCCTTGGTCACAGACCGAGGACCCAACAGGTCAGTCTGCCTAAGGCGAGTTGAGCGGCCACAAAGCCCCAATCAGTGTAAAGACTTAGACTGCCTAAATCACCTAATTAGAGAGCCACCTCTGTATATATGCACTTGCAAACCCTTTCTGGCTTCCATAGTAAAGAGGGGGGCCAGCAGACTTGAGAATCCACCTCCAGCAATGTCCACTCACAAGTCGTGGCTCTTTGAATGTTGCCATAGGTTACCATGGCATGCATGCTGGACTCATGAGAGCAGAGCTGTTGCCTGACTGCCAGAGGTGTAACATAGAATGTTGGCCCTGTCTCTTCAGTATGGACCAAGCAGGAGCATGCACTGTGCCACCAGACCACCAGCGAGTGTAATATATGTCCCCTCCCTGGACACCGATGCAGGGAGTGGGGAATGAAATAAAAAATATATATAATTTAGTTTAAAAAAATCCTTCCTGCCCACAGAAACCCCTGTCCTACTCCAAAATGTATATATGCACACTGCATCCACTTCACCAACACACACTGCATTCACTAAACAACACTGCATCCGCTTCACAAGCACACGGCATTCACTACTCACGCCATGCATCCACTACACCAACGGAGTGCATCCATTTTACAAGATAGTATCTATGATTACAGCATTCATAGCAATTCATACATCTTGGTAAGATGTGTTTTTTTTTTGTTTTGTTTTTTGCAGTGGATAAGTATACAACAGACTTGAGGTGCAGTCCCCAGGCATTTTGACATATATAGAACAGTGGGTCATACGAGATCTCCTGCACAATTTTATGAATAAAAAAATAGAAGAGAAGCTAGGCATTTGTGTCTAAGCTTATGACAGAAATTGAGGCTCGGATAATAATGCAATGCTAAGACACTTGAGAGAAGCACTAGGCATTACCTCAGGCATGGGAACATGCTATATATCACCATACCACAACATTATGAAATAGCTTGATGTCAAGTATTGAAAATAATGTACTAGTGAAAAAACTAAAATAATGAGAAAACAGATATGAAACCAATTGCTAGGTAGTTGACATTTGACAAAATTAACATCACTGCTGCTATTAAGTGTCAGAAGGCTCATGCCTCAGTCCCCTTTCAGGATCAGCCAACTCTGGTCCTCAGCTTTGTGACTATCCCATCCACCTGGTCTTCTTTACAGGATCGGGATCCCCTCCAGCCCCTAGCCTGTGTGAGGATATGCATCCATGTACCACAGACTTGGGTACTACGACAGTCCAAGCCTATACCCCGCAGAGGATGGTTGGAGGGTTGTGATGGCATCCTCCGCTTTTGTGTAATCCTACTTCCTTGTGGGCGATGCAAGGCAGGTAAGCCTCTTATGGCTCTCGGCTTGGGAGGGGTTGTGACAGGTTGTGCGGCTGTCGCAGTTTGAATGTTGCCCTGAGTAGGCCCTTTCATCTCCTGTTGTTTGATTCTCTTGTGATGGATGA